CTGCCCTCGCACAATCCTAACAAACCGTCACACGACCCCCACTAAAAACAGCGCCATTAGCAGGAGCAACCCCATCGTATATGTGCTCTACTGCCAGAGCAAACAGAGAGATAGAAAAATAGAAAAAAAAGGGGTGGGAAATCAGATGTAATGCAAGGAAGAAAAGGAAAACATGCAGGAGAAAAAGAAGAAGCACGCACATGCCTGCAGGCATAATATATGCCAGTGAAACCCTCAATGCATGAAGCTGCAAGTGTATTTATGGCGAGAGGGGAGAGAAGCGTCACGGCATTCACGTCAGTCATGCGGTACGATCACGTTTAGGTACGCGTTTGGGCGGCACCCACTTGTAGTGCACCAGCTGCTCCTCTGCCACAGCAGCGCTAATACGCAGCTCGCCGCAGCGCAGTGCCCCCAATCCGCCCCGCCCGCTGTCCAGGTTCTGCCGCAGCACGTCCACAACCTGTCCGCCATGCGCGCCTCGTCCCCACCTCCGCGAGGCGTCACAGCCAACGTCCCAGGAGACTGAGATGCAACGGTCGTCGAGGAGCGACCCATGCATGTCATTCACGGCACACATCGCAGCACACTGCTGCTCAAACACTACAAAACAAAAGCCGCACGGTGTCCGTGTCACCTCATTCAGGCCCATGACGACATCCCGCACGTGGCCGCAGGAAGCAAAGTGCTCCCAAACCTGCTCCTCCGTGGTGTAAAACGACAAGTTGCCCACGTAGACGGTGGTGCTCTTGTCAAGTTGCTTCTGCCGCCGTGCCACAAAATCCGCCTCAGGCAAAAGTGAGCGCAATAGTTCCTGGCGATCGACGTATGCCATGTGCGGCGTCACGTCAAGAAGGTATTCCGCCATTACCACCCTCCAGGCCACGCCGCTCTTAGCGCGCGCACACACACCACCCTTTTTCCTTCCTTCTCTTTCCGCAACTTCCACGCTTCGTCCATTGGGCCGCGTGTGGGGAGGAAGAAAAGAAAAAAAAAAGAAAAAAGTGAGAGTTATGGGTCCCGCCCAAGATACTCGCATTTGCAGCTTCCTCGTCACGGAGCACTCGGTGCTATGCGGCGTATACTGCGGGGTACGAGAATGCGGAATAAAAATGCACCGGCACATGCAAACGCACGCAGGGGTGGGTGGGAAGAGAGAGAGCGCAAGACGCCTCCACACAAGCTGCGGAGAGGGCAGAGACGTGGTCCCCGTCGTACAGGTTGATGAATACCCGAAGCAAAGGGCATAGTTCAGAACAAAACACAAAAACAACAGACAGGGACTGAAAAAGTCAAAACGCACAAGAAAAAAAAACGACGAGGACGACGACAAACAAAAAGAGGGAAAAGACCTCAAGTGGGCTCTTTCTCCTCTCTGGCCTGTTTTCGCGCCAAATACTCCCTGTAACGTTCCCCGCGCTCTGGGGGTCGCGTCTTCCCCGCTGAGGCGGCGGCGGCGACATGCACCGACGCTGATCCTTTCGACGAGATTCCCAAACTGCCGAGGTCCAACACCGTCAGTGACTGCCCAAGAGCGTGTGACACGAGCCTGTATCCATCCTCGATGCGCTGGAGCACGGTGTTGCTCATCACGTCGTCGGGGTCGTGCATCTCGACACCAGCGATGACAAGCAGACGGCCTGTAAGTTTCAGTAGCACCAGCGCCGCGACGAAGGGAATAAATAATGGGATGAATTGGTTAAGCCAGGTGCCAAGCACCAGACTGACATCCATGTTGCGGCGGTACACGTGACCGTACATAACGTCGATGTCGTCCGCCACGAGACCGGAAATCAGTAAAAAGTTGAAGCCCAGCGGCATAATAAGGCGCGACAAAAAAATGACGCTAAAACACATCGACGCATTATCAGCGATGCCGGAAAGCATGACGTATATGTCAAACACCTTGAGCTGCAGGATGGCCCAGTAGGAGCAGTAAGCCATGTAAAACATAAACATCATCGACCCCACAAGTTGAAAGTCGCTACGCATTGCCAAGGCAATAACAGAAAGCTGCTTGTTCGTCAGCGGCTGGAACGGCAGTACAATTTCACTCCAAAGTACCAAGAGCGTGAGAACGCAGGTACACGCAGCAGCCACCTTATAGAAAATGCCTCGCACAGGAAACCAACACCGCTTTAGTGGATTATTGCTGGTTTTCACCCCACGTATCAACTCGTCGTACGACTGGCAGTCGCGCAGTGTGGTGTCCCATAGGTGATTCATGCGCAGCGCAATTTTGATGGAGTACTTAACACGCTCGTGAAGCGCCTCCAAGTGTTGCAGGGAAACATCCGTGTGATGGTCCCCCGTCATAGGCTTTACACGTGCACTTGCAGCGTGGTACTTTGGTATGTCGCGATCGGCAGCGTCAATCTCTTCCATCATGTGGGTCCAGTATACCTTGTGCTCCTCCGCCACCAGGGGATAAATCGTCATGAGCTCGGCCTTGATCTCAGCCAGCTTCATGGCGGCGATATCTAAATCCTCCTGAATCTCAACCGCCTTGAAGTAGGCGCGACGCAGCATCCTTACGGCATCAGAGCTTCTCCACAGCATCTTCGGCACACCCACCAAACCAGCCGACATAAAGAGCACCAGAAGAATAAGCCCCCAAGCATTCGCCAGTGAAATCGCAAGCTTTAGAATGCTGGCAAAAGAACCGTATGCCCTCTTGAGAAAGACAATGTAGCCAAAGAGAACAACGATAATAATCAAATATATGACGTACAGCTTCAAGTTTTTCATGATCGCGTGTTTAATCTTTTGCCGAGGTAAAAACTCCCCCACCTCTGTGTAGAGCTGCGACACAGGCAACACTGCCCAACCCATAATGTATGTTACCGCCACAATGGTGTACCACACACCAATCATCCACGTCTCCTTTGGCACAGCAGGGTCCGCTTTGGTGTCAAGGGCAGCGTTGATATCCACCACAAGAAGTGGAAATGGCAGAATGGTGGAAAAGAGAGCAACAATGCTGCAAACACGGCAGAGTATCGGTATATTTTTTGCAGATACCTTTGCGTAGTACCAAAAAATCAGTAGTGCCGCTGCCAGCGAGAGGAGGCATAAAAAGACGGTGGAAACAACACTGCCTGCTGACATGACAGTTTGCGTCCAACTCAAATAAAATCCCTTGTTGTTTGCTGCCGTCAATGAGGTACGTGGTTGATGCAATAGTTATGGTGGTATATATACACGTGCTTAGGTGGCGCACTGTGCGCCGATGGCTAGATAAACACGCAGCGGGGAAGCCGCTGCACCTCCCTCTCGCTAACTTTCCCTCACCACTCGCAGCTGGGGAGACAGAGCATAAAAGGAAAAAAAAAGCGGTTGAACCCGGCCAAAGTGAAGTAAGTGAAGGGAAACGTAACCAAAAACTGAAAGCAACAAAAACAACAAAAAAAAAAAGAAGGGGCAGGCTTTTTCGTCCATTTATCGCCCCTTTTTCTTCTTCCTCCTCCTCCTCCTCCTCGCAGTTACCAGTGGCCTCCTCTGCATGTTATTAGGCGGAGTTTAGTTTTAGTCGCGCCTCATCGCGCTTCTGCATTACTGACAAGATCTCTTCGCGAAGAAGGTGCGGTTGGGCCTTCAGCTGTAGTGCCAAGCGATTACGCTCCATGGTTTGCTTCGAGAGTTTTTGCTTCAGCTCGGCGAAGCGGGCGTTCATCTGCTTCGGCTGCATTGATGTCGCCCTTGCAGCGCCCCCGTTGGCCCCGCCTTCACCACGAAGCTGGGCAAACACCTCATCAAGCTCCTTCTTTGCAGCCTCCAACTTGGCGGGCAGCTCGTCCTCACTTGTGTGAAGTACAGACTGCAGACGCTCCTTCTCCTTCATGATGTGTGTCACCTGTGACTCCATCTCCTGTAGTTCCTCCATTGTTATCTGTTGCTGCTGCTTGCCACCGCCCTTGGCCTTCAGGCTCCCTGGATTCAGCAGGACTGCCCCCTGAAGAACCTTCTCCAGCGCCTTCGCGTCCACCTGGCGGGCGCGAAGGCGCAGAAGCTCCTCGTTGCGTCGACGCTCCTCTTCTCGTGCGGCCATGCGTTCTTGCTCCTGCTGCTCTCGCTTAAAGCGCTCTGCCTCCTGTTGCCGCAGCTCCTCCTCTGTAAGGACGGGCTCCGCCTCATCCTGGTCCTCCTCCTCTTCCTCGCCTAGGTCATACACCGGTTTCCGGCCTTTTAGCAGACGATCCTTGTCATGCGCGCGTTCGTCGGCAAGAAAGGCATTGACCCGTGCGACCAAACCGTTCTCTAGGTCCCTATAGTTCTTCTCGCTGATGACGTTCGGATCCACAAAGAGCTGTTGGAGAAAGGCGCTGAGAAGCGCCTCGTAGTGCTTCGTTTCAGCAAAGGCATGCAAAAAATCTTTCGTAACCTTCCCAAAGGCGGTGAACTTCGCCACCCCACTGGGGTCCGCCAACTCAAAGGTGTAGCGGTCAATGTTTTTCGACACCTCACCGGCGTCTCCTCCCTGCTTCCTGGCCATTTACTTTACGTTGCTATTGTTGTTGTTGTTGGTGTGTGTGTGTGTGTCTTCGCTCCCTCTCTATCTCCCGTTCGTGGTCCGCAATGCAGTGTGAAACAAACCAGCTGGAAAAAAAGGCGGGAAATGAGCGCCATCATGCGCAGAGGAATTTTCCGTATGCCTCGCAAGAGAGGCAATAAAATTGTATCTTGTGCCGTATTTTTTGTTTCCTTGCTTGTTTGTGAGCTTCTGCTCTTTTTTTTTTTTTGTGGCACGAGGGTAAAGCGACAAGGCTCAAACACATGCGGACCACCTTAACGTCTCCCTCCACCACACGCAATCGTCAGACGACCGCAGCTCCAGTCATGAGAATTTCTCCAGGGAAAAAACAAAAAACAAAAGTAAAATAGTGGGGAAAAGAGGCGATGTCGTCTCTGCCTTCTTTCCGTCTCCTTTTAATTTGCCTTCACGTTTCTTCTATTTTCCCTATCTCATTTCTCTTTTTTTCACCCTTTGGGTGTTCGCATGTCTTTGTGTGTGAGAGTACTATGTTCTCATCCCGGATTTAAAATTTTGTGGGGCGCCGTGGGGGCTGCGGACGCTTCTCAGGCTGTTCTTGCGACGGGGCCGCAGGCGGTACCACAGTCGCTGCGGCGGCCGCTTTGGGCACCAAAATTGACCCCAGAGCGACGGTCGCCCCGGCCGTGTTGTCCTGCACACGAACGTACTCTTGCGGCGCCGATGCCACGTACCGCGCCGCGGCAGCTGGTGTGTAGGCCTGTGAATGGAACGGCACGGGAGTAATGGTCGGCTTCGCCGTCACCACCGGCTTTGGTGCAGCGACTGTTGTTGTCGGCGGTGGCGGAGAAGCCACACCGCCGTGCAACAGCGCCGTCTCACTGGTGAGCAGCGGCGGAACCGTACCCCAGTACACCGATGGCGCCTCCTCTGCGGCCACTTCTTCCATGACGCCAGGGAAGAGGAAGGTGTTGTTCTCATTTCGTGGCGGTTGTCCCCATTGTCCCTCGCCGTTACCCCATTGCGCACCGGGTGGAATGGGCGCGTTGAGACCGGGCACCTTAAGTGTGGGATATGCCGGTGGCAGACGACGCATCGCCTGCATGCCGTACAGCCACGGCGGGGGTGAGTGTGGCCCCATGCCTAATGCTGCCCGAAGGCGTTGCGAGAGGTGCCCCGGCTCATGGTGCGTCTTTGGCAGCCATTTGCCCTCGTAGAAGATATCCCCAAAGCGGCTGAGGTTCACGTGAAATTGTTTCCGTCGCAGAGGTGTTCCTGAAATAAAGCAGGTTACGAAAGACACTTGGTCGGGGTTTGCCTTCTTGTCCCTCGTCGCGCGAATTCGTTCCACGCCTAGAGCGGCAATTTCAGGCGGGACAATGTCCGTTGCACGTTCACGGTCCGCCTGATTCCCCAGAAAGGCACGCAGCTGGCTCCAATGCTGCGGCACGGGGACGCTGCGGCGCACCGACTTGAGCAGCACCGTGAAGTAGGGGTCCTCAGCGTTGCCGTCGTGCTCGGTGGTGAGGGCGCTCACCTCCAGCCCGTACCGCTCCGCGATGAGAAGCTTCAGCGACTCCCAGGGAACTTTATGCCGCCGCCGGGACCCTCGCGTCGCCGTTTTCGCCGCCTCGTTAACTGTCACAGACGGTAGCTGCACACGATCCGTGTCCTCCGCGTCAAGGCCGGCGTTCCCGGGCCCGCTGGCAACGGTGGACGAGAGCGGCGCGACGTCCACCTCGGCCTCGTCCTCAGGAAGAACGTACTCCACCGGCTCCGCAGCCGCAGCGGAACGCAGGCGTGCCTGGACCAGCTTCTCCCGCTGCTTCAGCTGATCCCTCCGCTGCCGCGCCGCCTCCTTCTTTTTTTTCGCCAACGTCATCTGCAGAAACCACGTTGAGTGTCTCCGTTTGCTCCCACCCGTCTACCTTCGTGCCTGTTTGCGCCTCCTTTGCGTATCCCTGTAAGCAAACAAACAAACGAAGCACAAGGGAAAAAAGGCAATGGAGGCATCCCCCAGGGAGGCTATCAACAGAAAGCAAAACAAAAAAAAAACAATTTCCCACATGCGTGGAGTACAAGAAACCACCAATGTGAAGGATGAACTGCGGCGCGTGTGCTACTAACGGGGAAAGAGCGGTCTGTCACTGCCCCGCAAAGGCGCATCTCAGACGGGTGACTCTGGCATCAGCTGTCGTAACTGCGCGTCCACACGCCTAATTTCCTCGCAAAGCGGGCTGAGCGAATGAGACGTCAGGTGCTGACGCAACACCCGCCGGTATACTTGAATGAGATCCTCCTCCTCACGCTGCTGTACACTCAACATACGTCGCTTGTATTCAACATCACTAAGTACCCCCGCGCTGTCACCGTCCACCTGCGTAGCCCCGCGGAGACGCAGCAGCGTCAATTGCAGGTGCGTCACCGTTGAAGCCAGGTTGGCCCTCAGCGCCTCTGGGTTTCCGTCCTCCGCCTCCCCCAGACGCAGCCGTCGTGAATGGTCAGAGGTCAGTCGCGCCAACTCAATCTCCTGCTCCTCCACACGCACCTCCATTTCCTCAAGCGACATGAGCATATCCTTCGCCGCGGCGTGAACCCGCCGCCACGATGCATCCTCCTCCTCTCGTTCAAGCTGCATGCGGGCGAGAATCGGATGAAGTGCCGTCACAGGAGCAACCACTTCCGTGCGCTCAACCTCTGTTAGTGGTGCGCGTGGCTCGTGTGGTGCTCTTTTCATAGACGTGCCCAACAACTCCCGCGCCCGCTCGACAAACTCTCCCGGTGGATGACCGTACTTTTCGCTGAGAGCCGAAAGCAACTCCCCCTCCAGACCCTCATACTTTCGCTGCAGACTCTCCGCGTCCGTGACAGCTTCAGCTGCGTCCTGCGAGAGCCCCATAAGACAAAATGCAAGTACCTTCGATAGCGTCTCCAACCTCCCCGCCGGAGCCTGTGAGTCCGTGGAGGTGTAAGGAGCGGCGAGTAATGCTTCCTGCCGACTTGGCAACGACTGGGCGTTCTCCATCATCTCTTTACCCCAGCAATCCTGCTCTCTATATCTCTATTTATCTCTGTCTTTGTATGTTTGTCTCGCGCGCACGCAAACGCCACCGTAAGGCCGCGCCCTCCGCCCCTCACTCCCCCCGCAACGGCAAAACGAGAAGGGACAGAAAAAGCAAAGAAGTACATAAACGGGCCTCCACATCCTCTGGAACCCGTTTTTCTTCCTTGCAATGACTTGATTGCACCATCTTCTGAGCAAACTACCTCCATTTTTTTTTCTTCTTTTTTTTTTTGCAAAAAGAAAGAGGGAAAAAAAAAGAAGAACCACACCAAAGCGAAGAGGCGGGGGAAGGGGATATTGTCCCTACCGTGGGCGTGGTGTCAGCACTCTCATATGTACGCGCGCACACACAAAACTCACGCAGTGGACCACACCCGCTGCTGTCTACACACGCATACGAAAAGAACGCTACTTCTAACTTGTCCCAACCAATCCACTCCACTCCCTGCACACCTACACACACACACCGCCACCCGCGGCGGGAAAAGGGCCTTTGCCTGCGTTGGCTGGTAAGAGACGGTTTTGCATCCCAATGTGGTGGCCACGCGCATCCTGCAAATATGCTCCCTAAGAGAAAAGGAATTTTTTTCCGTTATCCCACGGCCAACCGGGTTTTGTTTTTGTTGTTGTTGTTTTCCCTTTTTTCTTCTTTTGGTTTGTGAGGGTTAATCACGCCCTCCCCCTTCCCTTACCGCTCCCTCCCTCATCCTGCGTCGCTGCACACAAGGCAGACGTCCCTTGCACTACATAACACTAGTAGATCTGGGTCCGCTGCAGCGTTAGATAGCCCTTCTCGTCCATAATCGCCTCGCGACTGGTGCTGCAGAACCCACGCTCGTCCACAAGTTCCGTTAGGAGACCCGCATTGTTGTAGTACCCTGGGGAAATGTGCGGTCCTTTAAGCTTCAGGTTTCCTCGCGTGTTAGCGGAGAGGATCGTCGCGTCAGCCGTGCCGCGGTCCCCCACAACCTTCGCCTCCGCATGCGGCACCATGCCACATTGCCCCCGCTTTAGTGAACGCCATGTGAGCATGTAGGCGCTCTCCAGCGGGCCTCGAAAGACAAAGACGTCATCAAGGCTAAGTTCCTTCGCTAATTTCTGGATGTACTCATCACTCACAAAAGGTTCGCTAGCATCCTCAAACAACGCCACCCACTTCAGGTGTTCGTACTGGTCGGCGTCAAAGTTGCCCGTGTGACGAAGCAAAAGATCAAAGTCCGCCCTCTTTCCCAGAATACCCTGCACCTCCTCAACACACAGCTTTTCAATCGCGTTAAGGGCATGGTCGTCGGTAAACATGTCACTGTGGATGTGCACAAAAACTGCCCCTGACGTCAGTGCCGCGTACGGGGCAATGATGGCGCCCACTGGATTAATGTGGTGGTTTGGCATCACCCCAAAACGTGTCTCCGCCTTAAGTTGCATGAGTCGCGCGAAAAGAAATCCGGCATTGACGCAGTTCCTGTGCGAAAAGGTAATGTGTAGTTTGTCCTCCACCGCAGGGTGAGGATCCTCCAAGGCCAAAATCGGGTCGTCCGGATGCAGCAGCGCAGAGAGGCGGCGCAGGCGTTGCTCGTAGTACGAAAAAGGGCCCCATACGAGCATCTTGCGCATTGGCGTCACACCGAGTAGGTTCATGTTGTGGTCCGTGATGACCACCTTCTTCAGGAAGAAGAACTCCTGCGAGTGCACCCACTGAAACTTCTGCCCCGGGTACGAAAGGCCCAATTCGGGAATGACGTTGTAGATCATGTCCCAGAAATGCATGTTGCGCTCCACCAACGTCCCCTGCTTCATCTCGGGGACTACTATCCACTCGCGGGCAATAAAGTGATTGGGCTGAAACTCGTTCAGATAGAAACGAAGCTTGTCAGCGCTGATGTTCTGGTGCGGCACCACCGCCAGCAACGCCCCCACCTTCGCGCAAGCCAACTGTAGCACAAACGTCTCGCAGTTGCACGGCTGAATTGCTAGTACACGCTGGCCAGGACGAAGACCCGTCTGCAGCAGTCCATGGGCAAGAGCCTCACTGTTCTTTCGTATATCGGCAAATGCCCACCGCACCGCCTGGTGCTCAATGCGCAAAAAGTCTTTGTAGTACATCTTCCGTGACTGGATGTTGACGTAGTACCCTACAAGCTGGTCGAGCACTGGCACCTCAACCGGCCCCTTCGCCTCCGAGTAGTTCTTTCGGGACCCCGCGCCCGCCGCCGCGGATCCTACTGCAGCAGCAGCAGGCTCTGTATTCAAACGCGCTGCAGCGGCGCTGCAGCGGCAGATGCTTTTCGTAAACCGACGAAGCATCTGCCCAGCTCTTCTCTACGTCGTGTGGATGGGTGGGTGTGTCCAAAGCCTACGTACTCGTTGACTCCTGTAGTTGCTGTTGCTGTTGTTGATGTTTTGCGTCCCCTCTTCTCTCCCCCCTTCGCTACTTCCCTCCACTGACTCTGCGCAGCAAACAGAAAACGAACATGGTGAGTGGGGGGAGGCGAGAGAAAAAAAAAAAAGAGAGCGAACGACTGTGTGTAAGTGTGTGCGTGTTTATGGATTCAAGCGATACAACCGGAGGGGAACAGACAAAATCATCATCAACATCAAAATTAAAGAGACACACACACGCGCGTACACAACAAAACAACAAAAAAAAAAAAACTTTCCGTGAAATACACACCAAAGCGATGGCATCTCTCACGGACTCAGTTCTGGCCAGCGCGTATGAGGTTGAGAAGCGAGCGGGTGTCCCAAGCCTTCACGGCATCCCGACAATCCGCAATAAGACGAGTCTTGGCCTGCCCAATGCGTAGCCTTCCAGCCTTCATGATGTACGCATTGATTCGCTTCAGGGCCGCCTTCAACTCGTTGTAGTTGTTGTATCGTTTCAGGTTCTCCGCAACAAGCTCCTTATTGAGATCATATAGCTGCGCGTACAGACGCCGCATGTTGGGGATGTCGGACAACAACCGAGCGTCCTCCGCGTGAAGAAGAAGCGGTTTTACATTTGCAGCAGCGTCCGCCATGCTGCTGCTCAGCTTCAATCGAACCGCGTTGAATTCGTCCACGCAACGAATAGTGTCCTGAAGCATCTGCAGCTCGGCAGGGAAATGGCAAACCGCCGTGGCCTCATTCACCGTCGCCGCGCCCAGGCTCTCCACCACCTCGCCGCACACATCCATGGTTTCCCCGAAAATTTGTAGCTCACGATGCTCCGTGTGTCCTTGAATCACCAGAGCACCACCACTCCGCATGTCAATAAGCTCAAGTCGAAAGTCACCCTCCGTTGCAGGGCTGCCTGGAAGCGCAAACGCCTCCTCCATCCATTTTCCCAAACACGTAAAGAAAAACCCATCCGGTAACTGCAGTGTAACATACCCCGTTGGCTCGCTGAACGGTGTCGCCTGGCCCTTGTCCCACCGCTGGTACATGACAAACTTGGGAATGTCTAGTGCGAGCTCGTGAATTTGGTAGTTCTCGGCGTTCGTGGCCCCAACCATTACGGAAGCCGTCACCCGCGCCTCTACACACCGTTCAATGTTAACCGGGCACACAAGCGTCGCTGAGGGGTTCTCCATGGTGAAAAAGGTGCACCCTTTACCGGGGAACAGTATCTCGCTGTGAAGAATGCAGCCTTGAATGATAATGTCGTGCTGGCCGTAGCGCACCGAGAAGACAACATCCAGCTGTCCAGTCTTTGGGTTTGGAAGCAGCTTGTGCTGGACCACTGTGCCCACCTGCGGCAGCGTCACGTCCGTGTCACCCGTGCGCTTTCTGGCCAACTGCTCCTCCACGATGGCAAGCTCGGCGGTCAACGCCTGCTTCTCCCGCAGGAGCGCATCCAGCTTGAATGCCCCCTGACTTCGCAGCACCTCTTCCCGCCCCTCCCCCACCTTGTTCGCCAGCTGCAAGCCACGGACGGTTCCGTCAACAGTGCAGATGAGAGGAAGTGGCTGTCCATTCTGCCGGTAGTCGTACGCAAGCACCGCACTGACAGGGGCCGCATACGTATCTCTAAACAACACACCCCGCTTCTCCGTGTCATCACCGCGTACCTCCACCCGTCCGCTGCTCCACCCAACAACAAGCTCAGGCACATCGTCAAAGTCCACATCACAAAATGCGGCAGAAACCGGTCGGTGCCTCCCTTTGACACGCCAAACACGCTCGGTCCGGTCGTACACACCAACGGTGCCATTCGCAGACAAGTACGCAAACCGGCCTGGAATCCCGCTGTACACAATCTGGTGCACCTTGTCCACCTCCATGATGCTGGCGATGATCTCCTCCCCGTCAAACACGCGTAACTCAAAGTCATCCGAGGCAGCCACCAACGAGGAGGGAGCGTCACTAGGGTGGGTGCCGGGGAAAGTGGAGGTGTGTCCGCCGTGGCTGTTGTTGTTGGCCTTCCACGGCATAAGGGCCAAGGCTGTGACCTGGTCGCCCGTCACTGTCCACAGCATCTCTGACCCACTCTCGTCAAATCCGTTGATTGTGCAGATACCTCCCACTATAACCAACGGCTGCGGATTCCCATTGCCGCCAGGTCCCTTCACCGTGTTCACCACACCCCACGTCATCGCGTGTACCCCATCCTCCATGTTCTTGTAAAAGAACTCGCTATTGTGTTCTACATCATAGGCAAGTAGTGAGGTCGCCGAACCAAAGTAAAGAGCATCTGCACCTTCTCTGTCGGGTGTATCCTGCACGCGACCCACCGCCAACGCCGTGGGCAGCTTACCAAAGCTTAGCGTCCGCAAAGGCGCCACGGTGCTTTGTGCCGCGCTGCCGCCCTTTTGTAAAAGCGTTTCGTGACTCGCACTTGTGTGAATCACGAGCTTCTGCGTCGCTGTCGCACATACAAGCGATGGCGTCCTTCCATCAAAGCGGCCAATCACCGCCAGCCCCTCCAGCAGCGGCGTGTTCAGCTGCAGCTCAAACGCGGGCCGCATGGCGTAGTAATTTGTCGGCGCAGACATAAGTGGGGGGAGGGGGCGAAGCACCCAACAACCAGGCAACGAAACGACACCTGCATGTAGCCGTTGAGCCAGGCAACGTCGATGCCAACCAACCGCCCACAAAGACAAGGAGAAAAAGGAGAAGAGAGAGCGCACAAGAGGAAGAGAGAATTGTGTCCAGGAAGAGGTGGTAGAAAGTCTGTTGCTGTTGTTTTTTTTCTCCGTCTTCTTGCTTCAGGCGGAGAGATGCGCAAACACCACGGCGGCAGCGAATGAAAGTGGGGGAAACAAAATCCTAGGAAGTGAGGCAATTCAATCATATTTCCCTCCCGGGTAAATGACTAACACAAAAAAAAAAAAAAATTAATCATTCACGCACACACACACACACTCAAGTACATAAATCTGCACGGACAGCGAGAGAAGCAAAAAGGTGGACAAAGGCACACATGTAACCTAAAAAAAAAAAAACCACACACACAAGAGACGGGAAACCACGAAAGCACACATACACAAACAGGCGAAGACGAAAAAAACAAAAAAACGAAAAAAAACGAAAAAACGTCCAAGAGATGTTGCTTCATCGCCGCCTAGTAAAAGCAAACAGTCAAAAAAAAAAACATTCTTGTGCCCTCCTTTTGTTCCCTCCACACGACAACGCGGGTGCAGCAGACACACCAACCCGTGCCGGCGAGCCCCGAATGGAAATGCGGGGGGAGCGACGACGTCCAGCGGACAACCCTACAAATCCGCCCAAAAACAATCAAACAAGAGAAAAAAAAACAAGGAAGAAGCGCAAGATGTCAAGAAAAAAAAAAGCAAAAAGAAAAACAGAAAAAACAACTGGCGGCAAGAAAAAAAAATAGTGATGTTTTCCGCATTGCCCTTGCGATGACGTGTATAATTAGGATCAGCCACCGCAGCGACCTCAAGGGCAATTCCTCGCTATCTAATGATCATCAGGGTACCGATAAAAAGGAGGAAATTTGCGCCCCTTATCCCCCCCCACCACCTCCTGCACAGGGCGGGGAGGAGAGAGCTGTACAGGGTTGCCGGGCTTTCCAAAAGTGTCCTTTGTAACGCACTGTGTGTAATGACAACTTTGGAGAGAAGCAGATAATATGCAGCCGTTTTGTCTTTGTTTTATCCGACACCCGTAAAGCCAAAAAGACACCCTTCACAGACCCCCACAAGAAGAAAAAAAAAATGCTGCACGCATATGTGAAGTGATAATTACGTTTTTGGACAAAGGAAAAAGGGGGAAAGAGTGAGGGTGCGTGTGTGGGTGGGTGGATGTGTGAGACCACAAGGGCAACAAAAATAGCTTTGTCTTAAATGCGTTTTTAAGAGAGATAGTGCATTATCACGTCATGCCTTTCCTTTGTTGTTGTTTTTCCTTCATCTTATTTTTTTTTAAGCCGCTGGCCTTCCTTCTTCTTGTTCGATGTTGTCTTTTTTTTATTATTTCTTAATTATTGTTCCCGTTTTGATTTTGTCTTCATCCCCCACCACTCGTATTTGACTTTGTCCCGCCGGCTTGTTTACCCGCTTCTTTGTTTACTGTTTCTCTCTAGGGGGGAGGGGGAGAGTTGGGGTGCGCTGTGAGTCTCTCTGTGCCTGCCGCCTCGCCTCGTGTGGGCGGGTGGGCGCAGCAGTGACTCACTGGCCCCGTCTGTCCCCGCTCCGTCACCACCCTCACCGTGTGTCAGCGACGGTGGGTGGGCATGCGCCAAGCGGGCCAACGTGGGTGTGCATGGCTGCTTCCACCCTGCACTCCAGTCCGCAGTGCACGCAGGTAACCACATGTTATTTAGATCCGCAGATCGGGAATGTCAGAGCGTAAGATACAGACAAGGATAAAATAACACAGGCACACAGAAGCACGTATAGCAAAAACAAAAAAAAAAAAGGAAAAACCGTGCCAGCAAATGGCAGCGGACAAGAAAAAACGGAATGAAGTAGAAAAAGAACGTACGTGAAGCGGACGAAGGAAAATAGGTTTACTACACACAATGTTGAGGCCTAAAGAATTGTACTTGGTATGATGCCCCTCCCCCTTCCCTCGTCTCCCAAAAGTTCTCGCGGCTCAGATGGACGCATTGAACACGCATGCAGAGCGAAAGCAAAAAAAGAAGGATACTTCCTCTTTTTCCCATATATATCCTATCCATTTGATTTGACGCACAAGTCGCACGCAGGCAAAAGTCATGGGCAGATATATACAGATATCATACGTCTTGCATTGGTTTAGTGCAAACCCAGACATACGCTCTTTACACCAAGTTCAGTGTTCATCATCCCATCAAGGTCTCGCGCCAGTGTTTTCCTTTGGCGTTGAAAGCAGTCTACCGTCAAGGCTGTTGTAAAAGGGATCTTTCTACACCCCACGTCTCAACACATAAAATGTTCTTTGGCTGCCTTTGTTATCAGTGTGCTGCAACAGTGTTGTGACCGTCATTCACGCATTCACGTGCAACATACCATTAGCGGGTGGTACACGTTGTGGCCTCCAACCCTGCTGTGGCGTGTTGTTTCACTTCATTTTTTTTTCCACCGTCAAAGAGCTCTGATGCCGTGATGCTCTTTTTCTGCTTCTTGCGAGAAGGGGACACGCCATGGCCGCCAACAGCATTGCAACCAACGTGGGGGCCACCTTTGCTCTGCCCCACACCATTCCTGTAAGGAAGTGCGCCACCTGCAATGCGATTCGCATAACGGTTCAACTGGCCCTTGTTCAATGCCGTAGTGTGGGGAGGCCTTGGGTAAAGCATCCGCCCGCTGGGATGGGCGTTGACCAAAGAAGATACCTGTGAAGAGAGCATGGGCAAGTCTGGCAACTGTTTCCTCTTAATTGTCTTTTGGGATCTACTGCGTGGACCGCCGCTGGGGACTCCACCGTTGTCGTTGCCTCTGTCAGAAATGGCCGCCAAGACCGGCGCCGTGCTGCCCGGAAACACCACCTTGCCGAGAGCCGGCGTCCCTTCGTGTGTGGTGCCCTCCCTTTCCCTTTGCTTCCCCTCCTCCTCCAAGGATTGCGCACCAGAAAGGGAGAGGTATGAGTGTGCGTGGCCTTCCGCAGTCTTGGCCTTTTCGCTGAACCGCAGCCAAGGGTGTTGCTGCAGCTGCGCCGCGGAGGGCCGCTCCTTTGGATCACTGCGCAGGCACTGACCAATGAAGTCCTTGGCATCCCCAGAGATGTGCGGTGGCACCTGCTCCTCCAACCGCCCTTTCATGATGGCAAACATCACCGCCATGTGGTTGTCTAGGTTCCATAGGGGTGGGTGACCCGTCAGCATCTCCAACACGCAGCAGCCCACAGACCAGATATCAGCCATGCAGCTATGCCCACTGCAAGCAATAACTTCTGGGGCCATAAAATTCGGAGTGCCAGCGACACTGTCTGTCACGAGCGTCGTCTGCAAGTCTTTACTCGTGCCAAAGTCTCCCACCTTGAGCACACCATCCTCAGTGAGCAACAAGTTATCACCCTTCAGGTCACGATGCACAATGCGGCGTTGATGGAGGTACTCCAGTCCCTCCAACAATTGTTGGGTGTAGTTCCGCGTCTCATCCTCGGAAAAGGGGCCATTCTCCCGAAGCTTCTGCGCAATGGTGCCACCGCCAACGTACTCCATGTAAATTTGTAATGCGCAGCTGGCCTCCTCGCGTCGAGCAGAATAGTAACAAACAATATGTTTGTGGTCTAGCTTTCGCATCACACGTATCTCACGCTCTAACGCGCGGAGCTGAAGCTCCACATCTTTGCTAATGTCCGCCATGACAAGAATCTCCTTTATGACAAGCGGTAGGCCCGTATCAAGATCGATGGCGCGAAAGATGTCGCCAAACCCCCCACGTCCAATGCGTTCCTCACGTCGCACATTTATAATCTTTGGTCGCCGCCCAACCTCCGCGGTGTTGGAGCCCTCATGTCTCGGAACGATCTGTGCAATGCTGGTTTCTGACACCCTGCGGTCAAATAGGGCTGCAGGGGGGCTAGTGGCGGGAGTGTTGGCTGCGACCGCAACAGGAACCGCAGCCGCTGTGACAGCGGGGGTAGACGTGCGGCGGCTGGGAGTTACTGCGCCAAACTTGTCACCTACGCACGTCAGACTGCAACTATATACGCTTTCCGGGTCAAACAAGTCGGTGTAGTCGTGGGAAAGTAACTGGGCGGAGGAGCCAGTAATGAGGGAAGAGGACGAATACAAGGAATCCGCGCTCGTCACTCGCGTTAGACTGGGACTCCTGCTCGCTGGGGTGCCACAGTTGGCTGACGACGTCAATTTGATGGCCGGCGTCTCGTATACTCCCAGAGCGGGGAATTTTTCACCTTGCATACCGGTCACGCTCACCGGCTCGCTAACGAGATCATCCACAACCTCCTCGCTGAGCAGCGTGCCGCTGCTCGGCGCCGTTGACGGAGGCCGCTCGGAGCCGCTGTCGAGTGGTACAAGGTGGTTCACGGCCGGGGAAACATTTAGGCTGCGCACTATGCGACGAGGTGTGATGATGCCCCCTGACGTCGGTGAGAGTCCGTTCATACATGGAGCTTCCTCAGCACGCTCGGCTTCTATCGTAAAGCAGCCAGCAGGAAGCAGTATACCCCGCTGCGTCGTCTCCTTGCCCTGACGGCGCATACCCACACGCTAAAAAAAAAAGTCACTCTCTACCTTTGTATGCTTGCTGACACTCTATTTTGCTGGATTTGTTTGTTTATTCAGCGGCCTTTGTGTTTCCCCTCGTGTTTCACCTCACTTAATGTGATATATTTCCGCCAAATGCTTTCCGACGTCTTCAACACGCAGGTGAGCGTGAGGGAGGACACGCAACAATAGACAGTGACGAACCGCAAGCCAAACAGACGAGTCGCTGATGTGGAGTAGAAGCCCGCAAAATGGAACGAAGCCTCGGCACGTCGCCGGCAGCTTTTGATGTGTCCACCCCCTTCTTTATATTTCTTTTTTGTGTGTTTTTGTTCGCCCCCGAAGCAACCTCACTCCCCTGTTGCCTGCGCCTCCCAGCACCGCGTGTTGCCTCCTAATAGAAAGAAGTAAAAAAAAAAAAACTCCTTTTCTGTGTGTATACCGTTGTGCTTTGTCTCCGTGTTTATTACTCCGCCTCCTGCCTACCTGTGTGTGCCGCCCAACGCCAAGAAGTGGTTTCAAACCGCGGCCGCTCCTCTACTCTAAACCGGTACTCAGCTACGCCACTCGCTTCGCACACACACACACGTTTCGTGGAATTACTGCGCAGCAAGGAAAAAAAAAAATTTGAGATGAAGAAGGAATAACAAAGCGAGGCAGCCTGCGGCAATGAGACACCCATTGCAGGCCGTGGTGGGGCTGCACGGCAGGCCCAAAGATGCAAACAAAAGATACGGCCCTGCAGAGAGTGCCGGCCCGTACGTGCACACACATACACATTCACACACGGTCTTCACGTTCCCCGTTAGGATCACAAAAACAAAATACATCACCTTTACGCTCCGGCACACCTCACTCACCTTAAGGCACCCACCACAAAAAGAGGCGGGGGGAACCTCACATGCCAAAATAAATATGCAAGCACGCTAACACAAACTGTTGTCATAGCAAAAAAAAAAAAGCATAATCCCTAGTATCCTCACGCTTCACAGGGAAAATGTGAAAAGGGTTATTTCTATCCCCCCATAGTTTCTCATTCTTTCTCGCAGCTTTGCAAAAGCTTCATTCCTTGTTTTCTCAACCTTGCCGTTAGCAAAAGGCCTGCTCGTGCCACCCAAGCGCCTCCCCCTTCTTCCGCTACAGATGTGACATGGGAAGAACAAACTTTTTTATTTCTCACCATGCAGGGAAACACAACGCAAAAAAAAAAAAAAAATCCAAGAAAAGCCTACCCGCTGCCGGAAACGTGATCCCTCCGACGAAACTAAAAATAAAAAATAAAAAAATTGAAGACAACGCGTATAGCAAGAGAAAAAGGTGCGTGTCTGACAAGGCATGCGGGCACAGTTATCACCTGTCCTCCTGCATGTATCGACTTCCGCCCTTGCTTCGGCTGAGACAGGAGTTTTATCTACCACTGTTGTTTAAAATTACAATCCTGACTCCACCACGTAAATTGATTTTACGTCAAAGTGCTGTTAATCCCATATTCTTACTGTTTGCAGGAGAAGTTGAGAAGGGGTGAAAAAGATAGAGAAAAAATAGTGAGGGGACGGGGGGGGGGGGGGAATTGAACATCGGGAGCCAGCGCCTTCTCTGATCACAGGACGTGCACCTGCTGCGGGGTGCAGACATTGTTGCTCACGAGTCCCCTTATGATGTCGCCTACAAAGCTTGGGGGGCCGCAGATGACGCACGACACGGTGGGCGACAACTTCTGCAGCACCTCGGTGCCCAATCGGCCCAAGTACACGTTGACAGTCTCAGGCAAGCTTGGCATCTCCTTCGTTCTGGTGAAGACATAGTACAGCTCAAAGGTCTTGTGGGGAGACTCTTTCACCGTATCCCCCTCCTTGCTGCCCCTCTCGGGGTCCACCCCGTAGGTCTCAAGAAAGGCTGCGATCTCCTTGCGCAGCAGCATCACCTCCGGCGTCTGGTAACTTACCACAAGTGTTACCGAGGCGACCCCATCCTGGAGCAGATGCCGCACCATTGTGTAGATCGGAGTTACACCAACGCCACCCGCAATGAAAAGCACGTGTCGCCTCTTTTTCGGCACCCTCAGAAGCGCCGCGTCCTCCTCAACGACCCAGTTCGGTCGACTCGGGCCCTCGTACTTCACTATGTCGCCAGGCTTGAGTGAGTGAAGGTAAACAGAAACCACTCCATGCGGATACTTCCTCACAGTTATGGTAAACGACGTTTCCCCGCATACAAATGGGGTGTAGTGCCTCGCCCCAAAGAATCCCTTGCCAGACGCATCAGGAACCAACACCGAAATGTGCCCACCGGGCAGAAGCTGCAAATTGCCTGAGCATGAAAAGGTGATATTTTTGATGCCAACTGCAACCTCCGTACTCTCGAGTACCAACGCCTCTTTCAACGTTACTGACACCGTCCCGGCCTTGGCCTTGGGGGCGCTGTCTGCAGCCTCCGCCGTTGTTGACACCAGGCGTCCAACAATAAACCGCTTTGCCAACTCCTTTGCAGTCCTGCTGTGAATGCGTGCAAAGATATCGCCCACCTCCTTTCCGACTCTGGACATGATGGCCGCCTCCCCACCCGGGTGGGACGCCACAAAGTCTGTGACATCGTAAATGATGTCATGTATACGCAGTAGTGCCCGCTTCTCCTCGTCAATCCTCCGCTGCACCTCCTCCTCCGTAAGCAGTGAGGGCACGGCCCACAACGTCCCAAGCAGGAACTCCTCGAGTACCTTGTGGGCCCCACCCCCATGGATGCTCTCAAAAGTCTGGCTCACCTCCTTGCCAACGTTGGCCTTGATGGCCGCCGCACCGCCTGGGTGAGAGGCTGTAAAGGTGGTGACGTCGTACACCCTGCCGTGAATCACCATAATATCACGACCCTCTTGCATGATCATGGCGTGCACCTCCGCCTCACTGAAACCTCTCAACGGAGGCTTCGCATTCACGTTCCCTATTGCGGGAGATCTTGAGGCTGGGCCTTCCACCTTCACCTTCAACGCCAACCCTTTGTTTTGAGAGGGTTCTTCTGCAGTTGTGGAGGCACGCCTTTGAGCAGCCCTTTTAGAACACAGAACACCCATCTTGACACCTTTCCCCACCCCTTTTCTTTTTCTCTATACCTTTCTTTTCTGGTTGTCGTTCTCTGTATGTGCCCTGGGCGTCGGGGCTGGAGCTGGCCGCGGCAGCTTCGTGCTACGCGTACTGAGCGCCACGTGGTGCAAACATATGGAAGAAGCATGAGAAAAGCAAAAAAAAAAGAAGCAAATAATACCATGCTGACGGCGACAAGTAGCTGTCTAGTCATAGTAGCAACGAGTAAACGGCGGCGCAGGCGTCACCAATAGTTATAGCGCCGTCAGTCGGTGTCAGTGGGAAAAAAGAACAAAACACCTGCACGTAAGGGGAGGGATGGAGAGAGAGACTAACTGCGGGGGCAGGAATGCATCGCTACTAAACGGGCAACAATTCTATCTATCTCTCTGCCTGTGCATGTGAGGGTCGGGGAGAAAGAGGAGTGTGGGCAGCGGGGCATCGGTAAGTCACACAGTGGTCGTAGGGCGGTTTGATGTTGCGTGGGAAGTAGGATGGCGGTACGGAGAAACGGCAATACCGCCTCACTGTGGGACACGGCCGCCGGAAAGCAGCGTACCCATGTGCGTCATGGAGAAAAACTAAAAGGGAGCGGACAGAAAGGAAAACGGAAGAAGCCAGCAACAAGTGTCACACACGAGGCGCAGCAGCAATAGAAGCTCCACGTGCACCACCACCACCACCACCATTACTGTCGCAGTTGCCGTCATTATCGTTCATTACACACGCAGACAGGAGAAGGGTGTGGGGGGAGACAGACAACACAATAGGCGCAGAAAAGTTTTAATCGAGACAAACAATAAAAAACGCGTAGTGGCAATAGTTTCACTTCTTTCCCTTCTTCTTTGACGCAATTTTGTCAAACTTCCCATTGGAGGCCGTCGTAAGGTGTTTTGTGACGGCGCCGAGATGTTTTGCCTCTTCCTGTGCTCGTGTGATGTGCTCCGAACGGCGCTTATTATGCTCCTCTTTCTTCTTCTGCTTCTCCAGTCGGGCCTTCTTCGCTCTACGGTCGTCCAGAAACGGATCGCCGCCCTCCTCCTGTGCCACGTAGTTCGGACCCACCTCCCGCAGCCAGTCATGCTTCTCGCGGTCCTCACGAGCACGCTTGCCCCACTTGTCCTTCCACATCTGCTGTCCCTCGTCAAAGACGCGGTTGGCCTTCTTGCGCTTGAGAGCAATACCTTTCTTTAAGGCAAACTTTTCCCACGCTGTGAGAGGTTTTGGCTTCGGTGGGGCCTTCTCGCGCGGCAGCCGCAGAACGGGCTGAGGCAGCTGCACAAGCGTCGTGCTTGCATCAAACTTCCCGCGTTTTTTCTTCGTCGGAAGCTCCTGGCACTCACCCAGCAGCACCTGCACCGCCTGCGTGGCAGACGCATGAAGGTCCTCCTCTGGACGCTGCGGCCCACTAATGAGTGACACGTTTGTGATGCAGAGCATCCCGGTATCCAGCTGATGCTCGTTCATGCTTTCCTGTTTATCCCCTTAATTGTTGCTGGTAGTGTTTGCTTCCTTATTTGGTTGTTTTGGCCGGTTGGCTTGCGTTCGACACGTGGTGCTCCCTCCACGTCTGCCTGCCAGGCCAACACGCGCAGAAAGGCGACGCGGCAACAACAATGCAAAAAGAAACAAACAAAAAATTCAAGAATCAAAACCAACAAATGGGTTATAAGAGCAGCTGCAGCGACAAGCGGAACCATTCCGTTGTGCCGCAGTGACCCTCGATGAGTGGCGGGCACAAGTCACCGTAACAAACGGTTTTGACACCTCCACACATATGCGTTCGCCGTCAGACAAGCCTAAAAGCTGCGCCCTCGGTTTCTAGCTGCTCCCAGTGGCGGCTGCTAACGTCCATCTTACTTGAGCTCCTCATACTATTCTCCTCCCTGATGACGATCACTTCACTTTAATCTCCTACGCGCATCCCTTTTAGCTTCTGCAGCCCTCACACTTAGTTTTACTGGCTTAATGTTCCTTGGCTTCAATCTCACCCCCTTGCAGTTCGCGGTTATGTTTACTTCTTTTTTTTTTTTTGGCGCCCGTCCCGCTCACACAAGGCTGTCCAGGGGCACGGCAACACCGCGCTCCATGGTGCCCCCCTCCTTCCCAGCGCCCTGGCGCAGCATCTTCACCTGCACCTCCCCGCGTGCCCACTCGTCGGGCGCCACCAGCACCGCCCGCACCGCCCCGACGCGGTCGGCGTAGTTAAAGGCCTGCACTACCTTCTTTTTGTCGAGAATGATGTCAGCGCTGCGGCCGGCGTCGCGCAGCCGGCGAAGCACCGCAAGCGCGTGCGGCCGCATGGACTCATCAAACGGGATAACAACGTCATCCACAACGTGTGGCACATCTGGCAGCAACAGCTTCTCCTGCAGAAGCTCCGCAATGACGCAGTCACCAAAACCGAACCCGGCGCAGGGGATCGCTGTAGGGCTGCCGTAGGTTGTCAACAAGTTGTCGTACCGCCCACCGCCGCAAAGGGCACGAAACTTCCCCTCACGATCAAAGCCCTCAAAGACGATGCCTGTGTAGTATGCCAGCCCACGCACCACGCTCGCGTCGAAGAGAACCCAGTCGCCGTAGCCGTAGGCCTCCATTTGCTCGAAAAACTGTCTCAGCTCCTTCACAGCCTCATGCTCCGCACCGATGCGCTGCGCAATCTCGTCAACAGACTTCAGGCTGAGCGTCGTGGTGATGGCATCCACTACATCGGGTTCAAGTCCTAGCTCGACTAGCTGCGCCTCTGCCTCCTCCCGGGGAATTTTCTCCATCTTGTCAACAATAACGCACGCCGGAGCGAACTTGTCAGGTGTCACGCCGGCCCGTTCCAGCACCGTTTGCAGCACCCTGCGCGAGTTAACCTTTATTCCAACATCCTTAGAGGACAGACCCAGACTCTGCATGGCGGAACACGCTGCAGAGACCAACTCCACCTCCGCCGCCACCGACTTCACACCGACGATATCCATGTTCCACTGATAGTGTTCACGACGGCGGCCGCGTGTGATGGCCTCGTAGCGCCAACACTGTGGAATGGAGTACCACTTCGCCGGCAAAAGCAGTGAGCGCCCCTTTCCAAGCAACAGACGTGCCAACGATGGCGTCATCTCCGGCCGCAGCGTCACCCGGTGACCGCCCTTTGTAATGAAGTTGAACATTTGCCCGGTAATTTCTTCGCCGGCCTTGCGAATGTACAGCTCCTCGGACTCCAGCACCGGTGCGTCGTACTCCTCAAACCCGAACCTCTTCGCGGTGGCGCGGAAAACATCAAACAGGTAGTTGCGGCTACGCATCGCCTCGGGCGGAAAGTCGCGGCACCCCTGCACGGGCTCTGTCTCCACCATGTTCTGTTGACTTTTCTTCTTGGACTTCTTCGCGACGGAGCCCGCGTCACCGGTGGAGGCGACCAGCGCCTCCTTCTCCGTCAGGAGTTGCTTCAACTGCGCGATCTCCGCGAGAAGGGCACTGTTATCCACGTCCTTCAACATCGCACGCCGCAGTAATCGAAACCCACGCGTCTTTGCTAAAAAAATGACGGCCACAAAAAGGGGAAAAAAACTCTCAAAATCCCTCTTTGCTTTCTTTTTGAACTACGCAGAAGGCGCAAAAAAAAAAAAAGGAAGAGAGTAGGTAATAAAAAGAGACACATAACACGCCAAAAGCAAAAATAAAAATAAAAAATGGAGAGGGTGCGGCGACCCCACATAGTCAATCCAAGAAGTCCAGGTGTACTGCGGCGGCAAGAAAGAATGTACAGTCACCCCTCGCTTCTAGACGCAGGCTCCAACGAGGCAGTGAACACCTCGTAAACTCGGTCCTTCATAAAGAGCTGGTGCAGCTCCGCATCCAGGCTTGCCACCGGACGCGCTGGCCGCCCTTCATACACAACGTAAGGTGCAAGCCTCAACCCGGCGGGCACAACACACCCTGCGCGCAGCCACACACCGTCAGGGACTTCTGTCCACTCCCCAATCACACAATCGTCCTCAACGTGTACGTAACTCCCTACTGACTTCGCCTCGCACACGGTTCGCCTCCCAATCATCGTGGCAGAGCCTATCGTCATGGGGGATGACTCAGCCACGGTTAAGTTCAACAAGGAGCGCAGCGGGGGGCGCACGACACACTGTTCACGGAGGATGACTGCCTCCGCAAGGGCTACGAAATCAATGTCTCCCCGAACGACCACCAACGCTTCCACCAGCAAGAAACCAGATGCTCGTACGTCCCCCAATAAGTGAGCCTTTTCGTGCACCCACCGTAAACCAGCATCACACACCAACTCAGTGGACACATCTCGAAGCGGTTCAGGGAAAAACGAAGATGTGAGAACGCAGGGTGTCCCTGATGTCATCAAAATTGGCATGTATGTGTCAGCCATGGAATGTGGCTTCACTTCCCTCCAACTACTGCCGAGGGGCCTCAGATGCAGGCCGGCAAGCTACTAAACACGCTACACAATGGTGTAAACAAGAGTTACAAAGTGCAGTAAAAAAAGGATAAAGCAGCTTATAAATAATATAGCGCCGCTGCAACGAAAAGAGACAGGGAAAACCAACGCCGTGGTGTAGTGTGCTCTTCTTCCATTTTCCCCGTTTTATCTGTGTATTTGTATATGTTTCACTGAAGCCTTGTTTTCCGCCGCTGTTTGGAGCGTCCCCGCAAAAACACAAGAGTCCCACAAATCGAGCAAGGCAGCTGCTGCAGCTTCTGCTGCCACGGAGCCAATGGACAGAAAAACGCAAGCAATAACATATATGTGTGCGTATAGGTGTCTCTTCGCTTTTCCACTACTTTTTTTTTCCCCGCTCCGGCTACCAGGGGTCAGTCCGTCGCTCTGCCCGAGTAATGGCAATCTCCGGGTCCCGCAACACCCAGTGCCCGCGATGGCGCAGAGGCAGTTTAAGTGAGCCCTCCCTTGGCGGAATCGCTGGGTCCGGTTTGGGTGGGTGCGGAAGCTCCGTCGGGAGCACGGTTTCCTCCCTTTCCCCCAAAAAGGACGATGCGACTGGATGAACCACGACGGAGGTCTTGAAAACACCGTTGTAGCCATTTGAGGTGTGGCGCATGCTCTGCTTCCCCAGAATGAGGTCCAACTGTCGCATAAGTGGGTCGTCGTGCAGGCGGAAGTACGACAAGGCGCTGTGCAGCTTTTTTGTGTAGAGTTTTGCCACCGTCAGTGAGGAAGACATTGTAAAGCACGGACGAAACATCTCAAGTTCCCGCATAAACTCACTCTCAATGACGCGACATGCCGTGGCGTTGCCGTCAGCCGCCGCATTCTTGTGCGCCAAGCGCAGTTTTATGAGCTGCAACGCACCGTCTAAAAACGGACCGGGGTTGTGGAGGGCGATTGAGCGGAGAAGCGGACACCCCCGCAACATGCTGCCCCGCCTGGATTCGGCAACTCGGTCCTGCCGCCTCCCCTCTCTTCGGAAAAGCGTGAGACAGTGGGGGGGAGCAAAGAGAGAGAGAGAGAGAGAGATGCACCGTGATCCTTGCGGGGCGCGCAAACACACGCGTTAAAAAAAAAGGGAAAAAGAATGCTGCAGTACATCATCAAAGACACCAGACCTTCCTTATTCCTTCCTTCTCTCTGCCCTTCACTGCCTCCTCCTTCAGCGCCACAGCAACGACAACCATAATCACGCGTCCACAGCAGTGCTCCCCCTCTCCCCCTCTCCCCCAGGTTCACTGTGCTCCGGCAAAGTCAACCTAAGGCCCATCGGCCCGACAAAGAAAACTTCCAACCACGTAGTCCCCCACGCATCACTTTTTATGTTAATGCGCAACGCTTGTGGAATTGCGGAGCCAACGACGTCGGCGTTCCTCGGGATGGCACGACAAGTCCCCTCTCGCCCTTTTGCCACGAAGAGCTGCTCTGTCGCACCAGGAGGCGTGGCGAGTGGCATAGCAGCTTGACGAAGCAACGCCCGTAAAAGGTCCGAAGGCCCCGCTCACGGATCGCCTGTGTAACCCATTTTCTTGCTCTTCACAATCCTTGGCATCTTTTTCCACTTCTCCTGGCGGGCAACGTTTTTGAAGGCGGCTCCACGGTCATACACGCGATCTTCGTGCACATAGTCCTCCGGAAGAAGTCCCTCCGTCTTCCACTTTTCAATCTTGTCCTTCACAATGTCATCGATCTTCGCGTTCGGATTGTGCACACTCGCGCCAAGGGCTGAAGGCGTGTAGTCAAAGTACAGCTGACGCGGTGAAAACTGTCGCGGGGCGCGGATGCTGCTGTGCCAACAGACGTGGTAGTACATCTTGTCGTTTTCGCTGAGCGGAATTCGCAGCTTCCCGGCCCCGTGGCCGCGCAGATCGGAGTACGTAACACGCAGAAACTTCACCTTACGCTCACAAAAGTTGAATAGGTACTTTTTTACGTATTCGTAGATGCCGTTGTCGGTGACAGCGTTAAGCGCAATCACAATAGAGCGCGCTTCCACGCGATCCAGGTCAGCCTGGACGTCCAACATCTCCTCTAGAAGAAGCTTGACACCCTTCTCGTCACCCATGCGTCCGACGCTCTTCAGCAAGAAATTCCACTGGGACGTGTCAAACAGGGGAGTGTAGTTCCAACCATGCTTCAGGCACTTTTGAAAAATAGGGCTCCACCCGCTATGGTCTATTTTACTGCAGTAGAACAGCATCGCCTTGACTAAGGAGATCGGCGGGGTTGCGTTAGCGCCATCGGCAATAAAGCGTGAATGGCAGTATTTCTCCCAGAGTGTCATAGCCTCCTTGCTTCGCTGGAACGCGCAGTGCTGAAGCACCTTCGCTAACCAAAGATCTCGCGTCACTTCATCTGCGATCAGGGGCGCCGTATTAATATAATCCGAAATAACCTCCTCTACGGAGGTTTTGGGTATCGTGCGTCCGTGGGGCAGTTTACGTAGCTGTGGCTCCAGTGCCACGCGAAAGACAGGATGCATGTCAAGCTCAATCCATACACCGCGATATTTGTTAACAAGAGAGTGAGCACCTTCATAGGGTGCTGTCATTGTTCGGTTGACTCCATATGGGCGCTCCATGCCCTGTGGGAGGTTGTAGTGCCAGTGGTACTGGCTATAGGCGAGCATAGGGGAAGTGTCTGGATTAACAGGGGTGTAGCCAACCGCCCTCCAAGACGTTCGCCGAAGCATCGGCGCCTACAAAAAAAAAAAAACAGATCGTAATAATACACACACTCCCTTACGCGCTCCCTCCTCTTTCCCTTAGCATTGGGGACCAAAAAAAAAAAGCAATCAAGAAGAGACAGCACATGCAGGGAGGGGAAGAGAAGCAAGAAAAGAGAACCATAGGCAGCTGGCAACAGCCGCTCAGTAAGGCAGCCCATCAGGCCCCTCATTGCTCACCCATAAGATGGACATTTCCCTGACAAATGTCAGAAAAAAAAGAAGGAAAAAGAGTATTGCTAAACCTCTGTGGTGGCACCCCCACGTTCAAACAAAGAAACAAAGGCCAGACTGCAGTGCGGGTCAAGGGAAAATGAAAGCGCCAAAATAAAAATAAAAAATTGAAGATATTAGTCCCTTCTTATCCTTTGCTTGCTCATGAACTCTCTAGATATTCAAGCTCTCCGTTTTTTATCTTCTAAGCACAAAAATCATGGTCATCGGTGATTTTGCGATGAAAATCATGCATCTCCTGCTCCCCCATGACCACTGACTTATTGTTGAGGGTCCTAGCACAACTGCTGGTGTGTTGGGGCACCTTTTTCTCCGCCCCCTCCCTCTCCCAAACTCCTTCACGTCTGCGCTTTGGTTTGTTTATTTGCCTGCTGTGTGTTCTTTTTTTTTTTGCACCGTTTGTTGTTTTCTGTTTGTTTGTTTTTGGTTCTCGAGTTACTGCTGCCGTAGTCACGCTTCGTTTTTGCCTTGTTCGCTCCTGTCCTTGTTGCTGTTTCTCCCTTTCCGTTGTAGCCCCCTCCGCTTGTTAATATGTTTTTTTTTTGGAGAGCGGTTTTCTTCTTTTTCCTTCCTCTTCTGATCGCCTCCAATCACCGGGCTCACCGTGCTGCAGACGCACTGAGGTCCCTCTCAGCTCCCGCCAGTCTATTCATTCCGTCGGATGAAGCAGTAGGCGCCAAGCTTGGAAACGCCAAGTTTCCTGGGACCACCGATTTGCTGCATGGGAAGTACCCGATACCCAGAACGTAGAAGTCCCAGCGGGAACGCAGCCACAAAACTAAAGAAGCCTCCATCGTGAGCAAACTCACAGTCAAGTACAGCCACAGATGCGTCGTTACAATCCTTAAAATTAAATCTGTTACCGTCAATGCGAGCGGATCCGGTGCCATATATACGAACCCTTCCGTTTTTCAAACACGCTCCCTTCATATCTTGAAGGCCAGCAATGACTTCTACCGTCACACCTACGGTTGCCTTCGCTGCAGCATCACTCTTAATGAGATAGCCGCTGCCCCCGTTGTCTACAAAACGACCATGGGCCCATATCTGAGCCTCTTGCACACTTCCAGTGTCGATGAACTGAACTCCCAGTTTGGTGGCCGTTTTAATGTTGTCTGCATTTACGGTAGTCCCTTCGCTAGAAAAAAGGGCAAAGTGATCGTCAAGGTCCTCTCGCATTAGTTTTGGGTCCTTTATGCTTTCCTCGCTGAACACCTGTGTTTCCCACGGCTTGTCACCCTTTCCCTCTGTGTATTTCAAAAACAAGATCTCCGATAGCTCCGCGGAGACATTTGTGTCACCTACATCAACCCTACCCCCCACCACTATCTTGATGTCCTCCAAGTTTTCTTTCCTCAGAAAAAATTCCTCACCGAGACGCAACTTGGCCAATCTTTCACGCAGTGTTTGCTTATTTGGAATGGCTTCGCCGTTAAAGTGGGTTAGCCAGTCATCCTTGGCCAGACCCGCCTTTGCAGCGGGTGTGCCTTCGACAACCTCCGTCACACGTACTCCAAGTGATTCCCTGTTCAGATCCGCCACGTAGCATCCGACAAAGGGTTTCAAGCGGCTCTGATACCCCATGAGAAGCACTTTTTTTCGCAGCGCTGCGGGACTGAACTTGGGATCACTGAGAATAGATCCCTCAAACATCAAGCCTTTTGCAAACAACGAGGAAAAATCTTTCATGGTAAAAGCCAGCTCATTCCCAAGTTCCACAGAAATCGGATTTACCGGGGGGAGACATAAAACAATAGGATAGGAGTTGGTTGCAAATCCCCTTGTTTGAATACTCTCTAGAATTGTTCGTATCGGGCAACTTCCACTACAAAGAACGCCCTTTTCATCTTTCTTCAAATTCAAAAGGAAGGCTCTAGAGCTATCTACCAGGGCACGATTGAGGTCCGTCTCGCTCTCAATCCTTGCTATGTTAACAGAGTAACGCGTCAACGGTTGCGTCATGTCTTGCCAAACATCGGCCGTCCGCATCGGGTCCAGGGCAGAGTTAGTAATAAAGCTTCCAAAGTAGGTGTTGAAGTTGTACCTATGAATTGCCCCACCAAAGCGTAAGTTGTACTTCTCCTTGACCTGACTATCTGTTAACTCTGAGTGCTGCGTTTCTCTGAGAAAGTTTCCATATTCCTTTTCTGTCATACTTTCCCTACCCTGTGCAAATTTCGAGAAGATGTCGATTGCTGGGATCGCAGTTGCGGAAAGAAGGTGAGTGACTAAAATATTTGAAAACCCAGTCGCAGTGTGGTTATTCTTATTTTCGTGTTTGGCCTTCCCCGCGGGTCGCTCAGCAGCAACCACCTCCGCCGTTGCTGATGATCCAGAATTGGTCTCAAGCCAGTCATAAAGCAGCCGAGAAAAACCCTCATCAACGCAGTTTTCCCGAAGATAAGGTAACGTGCTCAAAATTGTCTTTAGTTTCTCCTCAGCTGCAATTCCTTCGATAGTGTCCACAATCACACCCGTTGTTAAGCGGAACCTCGTGCGTGTTACTTCCACACATGAGTTCAAGAACGTCAATGCAACCTGCTGACCTTCGGCAGCTGAATTAAAGCGAAACCCCCCGCCCAAAACATTATCCGCTCCCTCAAGAATCAAACGCAGGTACCGCTCGGCGTTAGCCTGCTGCTCGCAGTTCCGTGGAGACATTGCAAAGCCCCCGTTGCCAGCGTTCCTCCTTGGGGAGTGAAGCCTCTTTTTAGGAGTTCCGGGGGAATGACGCGGCACCCTCGCCTGGGCCACTTTGGACTGAGCACAGCCCATGCTTGCAACTTCCCACGCAGATGAGGAGGTATACACCAGCTTAGAGTCAACGCCCGGGCAGAAAAATAAAATAAGACAAGAAAGGCATGGATTAAGCAAAGCAGGAGGTCCCGATAAGCAGACAGATAATCCGCAAAAAGAGGAAGTCCGCAGATGTACCATAAAAAGTTACAAATTATTATTATTTTATACACAAGAAAAAAATAAAACAAAAACAAAAAGAACATAATGCTTCCTAGGCCTTATCCAGCCTTACCTGGGGGCTGCTTGTTCATGTGGAGCTTCTCACCCGGCTTCAGTGTCTTAGCGAGGTAGCGCTGAGTGTACTTCAGACGCTTGAATGCACGACCGCGAGGACGCTTCTTCTTCTCCTGCTTGGCGACCTTTGGGGTCTGGTTCTTCACCTTGCCGGCACGAGCCAATGAGCCGTGG